CCTCCTTCCCTCTCTCTGCTATTCCCTTTCCCCTAACCCCACTGTGTCATTAATTGTCATTAATTGTCCTCATATCAAAACTGAGTACATAGGATTCATGCTTCTCCATTCTTGTGAGACTTTACTAAGAATAATGTGTTAGAGACAGAGTCTCCTTTATTGCCCTTGGTAGAGTATTGTGGCATCACAGCTCACAGCAACCTCCAACTCCTGGGCTTAGGCGATTCTCTTTCCTCAGCCTCCCAAATAGCCGGTACTAAAATAGCCACAACACCAGGCTATTTTTGTTGCAGTTTGTCCAGGGCTGGGTTCAAACCCACCACCCTCAGTATATGGGGCCAGCACCCTACCCAATGAGCCATAGGCAATCAAGGATGACTTCACTGGGTAAAAATGTACCAGTGTCGGTTCATTCGTTGTGACAAATACATTGTACTGATGTCAGAGCTTAATGATAGGTAAACCAGGTAAGGTTATACTAGAACTCTCTGTAATACTGTTATAACATTTCCAAAAACCTAAAACTATTCTAAAATAAAATGTTTAATTTCTTAATAATTAAAAATAAAAAATATTTAAAACAACACCCAAGTCACTCTAATCTTCTCTTTACCCTTTCCCTTTCCCTCCTTTCCCATCATGGACAATTCATTCATTAGGTAGGTGAGCACCAATCACCTGTACGGTGGAGTTCAAGCAAGGTGAATGAGGTCCCTACAGAAGGAGAAGGCACATCAAAGGGGCTGGGAACCCAGTGATTTGAGGAGAGCATCTGTGTGCAGGAACAGCTGGGCATGGGAGCCAGAGTCTCAGGAGGGGGTGAGGGCACTGAAGCAAGAGGAAGACTTGGTGTGGCAAGGTTAAGTTAAAGGAAGAGAGGAGTGCATCCAAGCAAAATGGGAAAAATTGCCAGAGTCTGAGCAGGATGACAAAGGCATTCACAAGGTAGGGGGTGACAGAAACTGGGAGGGATGAAAAGTATGTTTGTATTTTATGAAGGAGTGACTAGCATGGGATGTCAGAGCTTGAGAAAGATAAAGAAGGCTGTAAGGATGTCTGAGGGAAGGTGACAGAGTACAAGCAGGCCGAAGAGATTATGTGCAGGTGAAGAGGGAGAAACAGAGCCTGAAGGGGGGCAGGGGTGTGCACGTGTACACGAGGGAGTGCACGTGTACAAAAAAGGACAGCTGAGCAAGCATGGTGACTGGGAAGGTAAGCAGGGTGAGAAGGTGTCATCCAGTGGGTGGAACTGGCCAGTGTAGGTGCAGGAGTTATCGGCAGAGAGGCTACCTGGTGAGAAAGGCCAGAATGTGGCCAGGTGGAAAGAGGTACCCACAAGGGGGAGGGGACAGCCACACTGTGAGACTGATTATGTACAAGGGACTGTTAGAATAAACAAATGTGAAGGATGATGGCTTCCAGGTTTTTTAGTGGTATTGCTAAAGAAATCAAAAATATGGAAAAAGAGAAATGCAGAATGTGCCCTCTGTTGATGGACTAGAATTGGAGGTACCAGCAAGAAATGATCATTTTCAATATACACAGATAGAGAAAAATCAATATACTTTCTTATTTGCTTTATGAAAGATCAGGGGCCTGTAATATATCAGTGTCATCTCATGGTTTTCTATTCAGTTTCAGCTGTCTATGTATCTATTTTTGTGGCAATACCATTCTGTTTAGATCACTATAGCCTTGAAGTACAGCCTAAAGACTGGTATGATGTTGGTAATTTAATGGGGATCACACTGAATCTATACATTGTTGTGGGAAGTATAGACAATTGAACAACGCTGATTCTTCCCTGCCATGAGCATGGTATGTTCTTCCATTTGTTAATATCTTCTGCTATTTCTTTTCTTAACGTTTTCTAATTTTCTTTACAGAGTTCCTTCACCTCTTTTATTAGGTATATTCCTAGGTATTTCATTTTCTTTGAAGCTATTGTGAAGGGAGTTTTGTCTTTGATTAGCTTCTTATCTTGGCATATCTTGTTACTGACACATACAAAAGCTACTGATTTGTGGACACTGATTTTATATACTGAGACATTAATGCATTTTTTTATCACTTCCTGGAGTCTTTGGGTTGAGTCTTTGAGGTTAAGTATAAGATCATATCATTGGCAAAGAGGGAGAGTTTAACTTCCTTTGCCCCCATTTGGATGCCCTTTGTTACTTTCTCTTGCCTGATTGTATGAGGTAAAACTTCCAGCACACTGTTGTAAAGAATCTCTATTCGATAATGGTGCTGGGAAAACTGAATAACCACATATAAAAGACTAAAACTGGACTTGCACCTTTCTCCACTCACTAAAATTGATTCAAGATGGATAAAAGATCTAAATCTTAGGCATAAAAAATAAAAATCCTCAAAGAAAATGTGTGGAAAACACTTGAAGGTATTAGCCTGGAGAAACACTTTATGAAGACTACAGTAGTAATTGCAACAACAATAAAAATGAACAAATGGGACTTAATTAAACTGAATAGCTTCTGTACAGCTAAGGAGACAACAACCTAAGCAAAGAGACAACCATCAGAATGGGAAAAGATATTTGCATATTATCAATTGGACAAAAACTTGATAACTAGAATCTACAGAGAACTCAAATTAAGCAACAAAAAAATGAGCCAACAATCCCTTATATCTACAGGCAAGTGAGATGAATAGAACCTTCTCTAAAGAAGACAGAAGAATGGCTAACAAGCATATGAAAAAATGCTCATCATCTCTAATTATCAGAAAAACGCAAATCAAAACCACTCTAAGATATCACCTAACCCCACTGAGAATGGCCCACATCACAAAGACTCAAAGCTGCATATGCTGGCATGGACGTGGAGAGAGGGGAACAATTTTACACTTCTGGGATGGCAAACTAATACAACCTTTTTAGAAGGAAGTATGGAGAATCCTCAAAGAACTCAAACTAGACCTCCCCTTTGATGCTGCAATCTCATTACTGGGCATCTACCCAGTAGGGAAAAAAAAATCATTTTATCATAAGGACATTTGCACTAGACTGTTTATCACAGCTCAATTTACAATTGCCAAATGGTGAAAATAATCTAAATGCCCACCAATCAAGCAATGGCTGCATAGGCTATGATATATGTATACCATAGAATACTATTCAGCCACTATAAAAGATGGTGACTTGATATCTTTGGTATTAATGTGGATGGAGGTAGAACACATTCTTCCTAGTAAAGCATCACAAGAATGGAGAAATAATAATCCAATGTACTCAATTCTGATATGAGGATAATTGATGCTAGTACATGGTGGGGATAGGGATAGGGGAACAGGGTAGAAGAGAGAGGGAAAGAGAGAGAGGGGTGTGGGGTCATGATGTGTGACACACCCCTTGGGGGCAGGACACAATTATAAGAGGGACTTTACCTAACAAATGCAAGCAGTGTAACATGGATATTTATATCCTCAATGATTCCCCAACAATAAAAATTAATCAACATACATACATGTGTGGGTGTGTATAAACTATCCGAGAGGGATCTGGGAGAACTTTCATCTCAGTAGCATCTACTATACCTAGGACCCAGACAGTAGCTTCTAAATATCATTCTCGATTAAAAGAAACAAAGGCTTTTTGGAGAAATAGCTAAGACACACACCTGATATATTTTACATACTTAACATACAGTAACATATGTGTATATATCTTTACAATAACATACACTGACATTATTTTGAACTTACAGTCTAACAAGGAAAAACCTTGACTTGAAAAACTCAAGGTTTCTGGTATTTAAAATAATAAGCTTTTTCCTATTCCTAGTTGTTGTCCAAGTATTGTATTATTATGCTGAGTTTTTAGAGAATGGTATGGATAGCATACATAAGGAATTATAATAGAATAATATAGTAACATTTTAAATGCAATATATATGTATATGTATATAGGTGTATATGTGTGTGTGTCTATATAGACATATATATAGATACATATATATGTGGGAAGGAGAGAGAAGGAAGGAGGGAGAGGGGTGTGGGGTCACAGTGTATGACACACCCCTTGGGGGAGGGACACAATTATAAGAGGGACTTTACCTAACAAATGCAAGCAGTGTAACCTGTTTTTTTGTACCCTCAATGATTCCCCAACAATAAAAAAATCAATATACATATGGATGTGCATGCATATACACATATATACACACATATACATACATATATACACATATATACACACACATATATATACACATACATATATTGCATTTAAAAATTTTACTATATTATTTTATTATAATCCCTTATTATATATATTATTAGTATATATATATATACTATATATACACACACACATTATTTTAAACCAAGAAATATGTTGTATAAGTTTAATTCCCAACTGGATAATCAGAAACCATCCCACAAAAAGCTCAGGATGAAAAACAGGTTACTGTATGTTCACACCTTTCTCACCTGTCTTCATTTAAGAAACTGACTTTTTTTCTTTTTTGAAATATGAAAGAAAAGGGGGAACAAAAGTAAAAACTACAACTCTCTCTGTAGAATAAAGGAGAAAGTACTAACTTTTACTAAATGTCAGGCATTATAACAGCACTTAATATTCATTATCCTATCTTACTCTCTATAATCATTTTAAGTGTGTATTGACATCTATTCCCACTTTAAATATTAGAAAATTGGTTAAAAGATGTTATTCATAGCCTAGGGATCTAATTGTAATAAAATGTAGAGGCTAAATTTAAACTCAAATTGGTCTTTATATGGAATCCGTGGACTTTTTCAATGAACTAAGTCACCTCCATTGAACCTCACCATAACCTCTTGGGTGGATAAAGTAAGTGCTATCATTATCAATGTGTGTGTGTGTGTCTGTGTAAGAGAAGAGCCAATGACTGTTTTACACAATTTTAGAACTAGAAAGGTTGCACATCAAACTTCAGAATAAAAATAAATTTTGCCTATAACAGAGTTTTATAAGAATTAAAATGCACTATTCCAAAGAGTCTACATTCTTCCATGCAATATTCAATCTGGATGGTTAATAGCCATATGTACACCTTTTTAAAGTTGTCTGATCTTAGAAAACATTTATAAAAGTATGTACACTCTTTATTAGAAGTATGGAAAGTCCAACTTATTTGACAAAATGTTTTCCAGACAACACACTTAGTGACATCATAATTAGCTGATATGAAGAGAAGGGCATGTAAAATATTAAAGCCACGAAATAAGCAGTGTAAGTATCATTTTACATACCTTTCTCTAAAATCAGAAACTTTACATTCACAGAATTGTCTTCCTTTTGTTTCTTCCTGAATGTTATTTACCCTAATGGCACATTAGCTATGCATGTCAAGTATTCCTTGTACTGAACCTCCAAATTCACAATTTCTCTTTAGCATACACAAATTCAAGTAATCATATATGTAGGACTATGGCTAAGGGTCTTGGAATAGACATATTTAAAACAATCATATAACTCACTTAGTATCTTTAATAGATAAAGGGTTCTATATAAGAAAATTTGCCTGGATCTTGAGACTATTTCCAAATTAAAGTGTAAAAAAGAAAGAGTATGACTTGAAAAATTGTACTGGGTTTCTGATACTTAACACAGTAAGCTTTATTGTATGCCTCGCTTTTGTCCAAGATACATTTTGTTATGCTGAATTTCAACAGAATAATTATTATTTCAACAGAATAATAATATGTAAATAGGTAGGGAGAAAAAAGAGTTTATATCAAAAACTTGAAGATACTGAACCCACATAAAGGCAACTACATTGGCAGGCTTTGGTCTTGATATGAGAATATAATAAAATGATAAAATAATACTTTAAAAATATTTCACAAACTTTGCACATGGAGAATTAAATATTTTTTTAAATCTACATAATATTCATGGGAAAAATTTAGTTCACATTACATAAACTCACCATCTTAACCATTTTTAAGAATACAATTCAATATTGTGAAATAGTCACATTATTGTGAAAAAGATATCCAGAACTTTACCTCACAAAATTGAAATTTTTGCCCCTTAAAAACCAACTTTTCATTTCCTCCTTCCTATTGCCCCTAGCAACCATCATTCCCCTTTCTGTTTCTATGAATTGGACTACTTTAGAAAAGTCACATAAGTGGAATCAAACAGTAATTTCTCATTTGTGACTGTTTTTTTTTTTCACTTAGCATAATGTCCTCACGTTTTGTTCTTTCATACTGAAGAAGATGACAAGATTTCCCTCCTCTTAGGTTGAGTAATAGGTTATTGTATATACATTTTGTTTATCCATTCATCCATCAGTGGGCATTTCCATTGCTTCTACCTCTTAGCTTTTGTTAAGTAGTGCTGTTAACATAGGTAGGAAAATATCTCTTGGAGATCCTGTTTTGGATACTTTGGCATAAAAGTGCTCCAAGTGGGATTGCAGGAGCACATGGTCATTCTATTTGTATCTTTTTCACATTGTTTTCCATGGCAGTTATATCACTTTATAATCCCACCAATAGTGCACAAAGATTCAGTTTCTTCCACATCCTTGTCAACACTTGTTATTTCCTGGTTTTCGATAACAGTCTTCCTAATGGACACTAAATTAGGTAGTAATGTAGGTAATGAACACTAGATTACTAGAAATTTTTTTTCAAAAAACAAAAAATGCCTAATGGAATGAATAACATCATTGGCTCTCTGAACAATGAAGCACCATCTTCCTTAGATTCCCAGGGTTGGATTACTGATTGGTTCCTAAGCACTTAACCATTATACCATGAAATCTATCTTAGTAGAGTTAAGGAAGGCTGTACCACTCCTACACCGTTTTAATTACTCTGGTAAAGGCTACTGTAACATCAGCAGCAAAGAAAGAGGGAGAGATTTTCAGTGCATATGAGAATGTATCAACAAAACATATTGTAACACTATATCTCACTAATAATATCTCAAACTGGTATTTCTGAGAAGCTCAATGCAAAATCCTGATCTTCCAGCAGGGTCTTTGCTAGGTGTGGTCAGAATCAATGTAACAGCACCTCATACCTTAAACTCAACTGTTTCTGAACACAAAACTAATACCAGTTTTTATTTTCTTTAAATTTTTTTTAAACCTTCTGTGATGTGACTTTCTCATTTTGGTGGATTCCTCCCAGTCAAGGGTTTAGCTATGAAGTGACTCCTAGGCAATAAAGTAGTTCATCTCTTTGTAGGGTCACTTGATACTATGTGTCCAAACATTTGCAAAATACATAATCACTTGTTCAGGTATTTCACATCTGAAATTATCTTAAATTGTGAAATTAATTAACAAACATTAATATTCAAAGGTGTTCATAGAGGTGTTGCTTATTTTAACCAAAATGTAAGTAATTTAAAATGCCCAAGAATAGAGAAGTGATTAATAAATTAAAGTGCATTCACATTGGAATCTAGGTAACCATTAAACCTCATGCTGTGGCTTGAAGGTTTACACTTTGATACTTTTACATGTTTTATATATATTTTTTACAGTTTTAGAAAGATATTTTTACATACTTTTTTAGTTCACCTTTATATTTTATTAATACTACAAGGCATTCATAACGTGTTACAGAGTGGCAAAAGCAAGTATGAGTGTGTGAATGTGTGTAAACACCATCAGTGGTCAAGGCTAACTAAAGCTCATTGAGCTTAAAACTAAACACTTCACCTACATACAATTCCATTTACAGAAGAGAATAACAAAATAGAGTACAGTGGTCAATTTCTCTGGATTAGGAAATTGAAGTGAACATCATCTTCTTGTTGCTTATGTTTGTTTTTTAATTTTTCTGTAAGAAATGTATATCACTTGTGTTCTATAAAATAACCAAGGAGTGGAAACCTGGCCTGAAATGGAAGCCATTTCTCAGCTTGGTTCTTAGCTGCTTATCTTTGGCCTCAGAGAGGCCGGGCTGATGAGTACTACTGAAGATGGCCACCTCCTCTGCCAGAGAAAACAAGCCTGATGAAAAACTGAGAACACCTGGGGCAGAAGGGCCTGCCTCTTAGCTAACTGCAAGTGTTGACTGCTATCTCCTCACATTCTGAGGAGGGAGAAGAAAATTAATACAGTCAGTAAAAAGTTGTATGTCCTTGAGGGAAGCTTTCTATGAATAGGTAAGTCCATTCACAGGTTTACTTTGGTTTTAAATTTAAAATTTAAATACACTTAGTATTAAGTTAAAACCTAATTTACCCTAAAATTTTTACCATTAATTTACAAATTATTGGTCAAACATATTTTAATAGTACCTTATAAATGGATTTCAATTGATCTTTGGCCCAATTTAAAAAAATCCCTTCCTTCAAAGGCAATTCCCTTACAAATGGCCTGACAATCAAATAGATTTGAAGGTAAATTTGTAAGTAGGTAGATAGAAAAATCTTAAATGTTCCAGTGCTATATAAAACTTGATAAGATTTCAATTTAAAATAACATCTCAATCAAGTACTCAGTTACACATTTTAAGGTGAAATTAAACATATTAATTAATTAAATGTATGATTTTGTGAGGCAGATTCTTACACATTAGAAATCCTTAAAATGCCAAGTATGCACAGATCTCTTTTTCATATAAAAATCTTGCTGCCAAATTTATTCTTCTTAAATATTTCTACTTTGAATTATAAATATTCCAAGGCTAAACGATTTTTATTCACGGAAAAAATCACATCCCTACAACCAACTTTGAGGTTACCTTCCCAGACAATTGAAGCTATGTGTTGACCTGGGATTTTTAACCAAGTGGCTGGCTGGATTTTTGTCAGTCACTAAGGGTCACCTCGAACCCTATTTATCGTCTATAAAAAGGACCTCATAAATTACCAAGGTTTGAGTCCTTAACCTTTATAAGCCACATAGCTCTGACTCATAGCCTTTCCTGATTTTTAACTTAGGTTAACTTTCATCCTGCTAACAGTACCATTTAATTAAATCAAACATATTGAGTCACTGTTTCATTCGGGTCTGAGTTCTTTTTAGTTTCTTCCTGTTCAGTAGAACCATAATTCCTATATAAATGTGATAAATCATTTTGTTGAATTCACACCTTGCAGTCACAATGCTCAGTCTTTCTACTGACACATATTTATGTGTCCACATATACGTAGTACATTAGAGATAGAATGCAGGAGTAAGATGATTATACCTGACCTTGTGGGGGTGAACAGACATCACAGCCTTCTTGCTAACCAACCCTCTGTGCTAACCAACATGATAATAGAACACTTACTGACAGAACCTAGAAAATAAGCACTATTTTTTTTAGGAACCATACCACTTCTCCAGTCCACTTTTCAGAAGATGAGGGGAAAGTATATATTTAAGCATAAACTCAATTGCTTGGCCTTTGATGTGGAACCATCTGAGGTCAGCTGCATCAGAACTTCCATTGATGTTCTTTGCTGTCTGCCCCACATGGACAGACAGCACCCAGGGAGTTCAGCAGCTTAGAGGAGCCTCTTTCACTGCAGTTGAAGGAACTCCTTTGACTGGAGAATTTAATAGTGAAGAAAAAATAACGCTGCCTTATGTTTAGAACATTTTGCTTATATAATACCTTCCTGAGGGCAGAAAGGCAAAATAGACTTAATTATGCACAAGAGTTCATATTAATACAATTATTTAATGATTCTCAATCCTGAAATAATGTCAAAAAATCAAAAAGCTGTCTGAAATCTCACAGAAGAGGTAAAGCTTGAGATCCTTCATACTGCACAGTTCTTGCCAATATAGGAGAGCTCTAGTTTTATCTGTGCTATGAATAAAAAGACAGTGGCATCCAGCACTAGGATTATCATCTGCCTACTCAGAAAAATAATGATTAATTTAAGATAAATAGATGCCGGCTTCAGACATGCTTATTATATTTCCCAGACACTGCTGCGGCAACACTCTCTCTTCTCAGAGGTTATAAAGTATTCAGAGAGATCATTCTTTTCTACTCACAGAACGCCAAGCATTCGAGATTTAATCTAGCTCTCTGTTCAGTATG